ACCAAACGAACAGTGCTCTAATAACACGGCCAGTCACGAACATATCTTATCAATTACGTTGACAAATATTTGCCTGAGCCATTGCGAAAAGTGGCATAGAAGCATATAGGGATGAGATTGCTTTGCACTTGCGGGCAATCCAGGCGTAATTTAGTGTGAATTATGTTGAATTGCTATTGATTTGTGCTACAATTTGAAGTGGCATTTATGCATTTACTTGAATAAATATTTTCTTAAAATAAATATTGGAAATGGGTTGTTTGTGTACTCTAAGATAATAGCTCTTTATGCTAATTACATCAGCAGTTAAATAAACCACACTTAAAGTAATGTTAAGCCCTTCAGATCTTAAACAAATTCTAATTTCTTCTATCAGTATTTAATTGAATCTTAAGTATAGCTAATAGAAACGTAAGAGCATTTTAACTATTTGATTAGAAATTAAGATTAAAACACTCGTTCATTTCCGCTGTTTTAAACCATGCAAATCATTTCTATAATGCATGATAACATTTTTTCGTTTACAGAGATATTTTGGGACTAATCTTATTCAAGTTTAAAATTGCCTAAAGGCTAAAAATCTTATTTTATGTAAATAGTCTATCATAGAAATGCGATTTTTATGTGATATGAAATGAAATATATTTTTCTGCAAGTTGCCTCGAAAGTAGTAATAAGTTCACTTAAAATTCTGTTTAAAATATTAGAGCTTAAACAAATTCTAGTCTATTTTATTTTATATAATGGAATTTAATCATAGCTTCTAGAAACGTAAGAGCTTAAAATAATTTGATTAGAAAAATAAATTAAAAAGCTCGCTCATTTCTGCTCTTTGTCCCATTCAAAGCATTCCTCTATTGCATGATAACATTTGTTCGTTTACAGAGACAATTATCGTATACCCATGCACAGTCGTAAGTTCCTTTTGTTGACAGTGTGTCTGCTACTTTGTGGTAGGTTAAGTGTCATATATGTAGATAAGAGAAACAAAGTGCAGCAGACACAAGCTGCAAAAAAAGAATAGAAAAAGAAGAGCACAACAATGCCAGATGATTGATCAAAAGTTTGCCCTATCAATAACTTATTAGATAACGCATGGTGTTGGCGCTGCACTCCGACAATATGCACTTCACAAGCTAATCGACACAAGGGCCAAGTGTGTGCTCCCTCCGAATATAAAAGGCAGTGCATGGCCAATGCGCACAGTACAGTGAGCGTTCGAACGTTTCACAAAACAAACAAAGGAAGTGGAAGTGGAGGAGAAAGAAACAGGAAGAGAGAGAGAGTGAGAGGCAATATGAAAGTGCTACTAGTTTTTGTCCTGATATCCTTGGCTGCGTTGGCCAGCGCCAGGAAGCCATTCGCCGCGCGCTACGATAACTTCAAAGTGTATCGAGCTTTTGTCGAGGATAGCGAGCAGCTGGAGGAGTTTAAAAAAATTCATCACCACCTACAAGTAGGGGAATGCGATAAAGCAAGGGAGGCAAAACATCAACATCTTTTTTTTTCTCTGCTTTTCTGCTTCTCATTTCTTAGATTCATATACTTCACGAGATTGGAGGACCCAATCGCAGCTATGATGTTATTGTGGGTCCATTGTTCCAGCGCGCCTTTGAGCAGGTGCTGCACGACTTGCAGGTGCAATACGATATAATCGTCGAGGATTTACAAGCGTAAGGCTCCAGGCAGACTTTAATTAAAAATATGATGCAGATACTAAAGAAAAATAAAAAACTTTTCGTTTAGTTTGCTGGACGAGTCGTCGGTGGATGAGGATGCGCCCATGGACTGGGAGACCTATCATCCGTTGGATGTCATCTACGACTGGGTGGATGAGCAGTGCGACCAGCACGATTATCTCGAGTGCCAAGTCATAGGCCACTCGTACGAGGGCAGGCCCATCAAGAGCGTCAAGCTGTCCAAGCGTGAGGGCAACAAGGCCATTGTCATTGAGGGTAATATTCATGCCATGGAATGGATATCGTCGGCCACCGTCACTTACATCCTTAATCAGTTAATCAACTCCGAGGATGAGGAGATGCAACGTCTGTCCGAGGAGTTTGATTGGATTGTGATGCCGATGGTGAATCCCGATGGATTTGTCTACACACACGATGTGGAGCGCCTGTGGCGCAAGAATCGTCGCCCCAATGGTTATTCGAACTCGTCGGGTCCCTGCTATGGCATCGATATGAATCGCAATTTCGATTACCACTGGAGCGGCGCCGGCTGGGGTATTGAGGACCCCTGCGATCATTGGTTTGGCGGTGATGAGCCGAACTCGGAACGTGAAATTCTGGCCCTGCAGGAGTTTGTCAACTCCTTTGAGGATGGCTATATACGCGCCTATTTGGCCTTCCATGCCTACGGCCAGTATGTCCTGCTGCCCTATGGACACACAAACACTGAATTTCCACCCAACTATGATCAAATGATGCGTATTGCTGCTGCCTTTGCCGATGGCGCTGAAGATGCGTTTGGCTCTGTTTTCACCTATGGCGCCAGCGGTTTATTGAACTGTAAGTGTTGAAAAAAAAAAGAAGCAAATAACCACTGACTGGCAATTGTAATGCTATTGACCTCTGACACTTCACTCACTGTAGATGTTGTGTCTGGTGCGGCTAAGGACTGGGCCTACGGGGTTAAGGATATACCATTCACCTGCACTGTCGAGCTGCGTGATAAGGGCACATTTGGCTTCTTCCTGCCATCCAATCAAATTACGGAAGTTGGCGTCGAGGTCACCGAAGGCCTCAAATCGCTCGTTGCCAAAGCAGTCGATGAGGGCATTTTCGATTGAAATCGGTCGAGAGTCGAGAGGACACATTTCTGACTCTCACAAACGTCGATAACAATTGGATTAGCTTGTAGCGAACCTATATGAATTTATTTACAAATAAAAATAATACAACTGTATATATGTATGTATGTATGTATATTCAATATATTTCAATTTGATGAGCATTAAAATTGTACTACTTGGCGTATGCGTGATATTTGCTTTGGTGGAGTTAACTGCTTAGTGTAGTGCACCGCAAGCAGTAACATGTACCTCAAATACAACACAAGCAGTTCTATTTCCGGTTTGGGCTTCAGCTGTTACTGCATATGCAAGCAGTGCGCATCAGAGCTGCTTGCCAAGAGTATTTTAGCTTGATTTAAGTCCTGGCTGAGAGCTTGGGATAAATAGCTAACAGTAGCTGTTAATGGAAATTTATTAACATTCTGTTGAACGACTATTCGAAATAACGAATATAATATGAGGAAAGTTATCAAAAAAATTTTATTTATAAATATATAGTCAATTTTAATATTCATATTTGGCAAACATTTTTTATTCTAATTCTTGTTTTATTTACAAATTATAAGAAAGTGCACTGAATAAATGGAATTTTAATATTTATATAAAAATATAAGAAATTATATTTAAGTGAATAAATATCTAGTAGCCAAATGTATTAAATTATTAATTCCTCACAAAATATGCTCTAACCCTTAACCAAATTTGATCGTACTGAATGAGAATAATTTAATTAGTATACTTAATAAAGGAAGATATTTAATCAATTCTCAACATTCAACAAATTCCCTTAATATCAACACAAACAACAAATTCAGAAACGATACGTAACCCGTAGAGATAACATTTAATATTAATTGCATCAGCTTGCCAAGTATTTGATTTTGAAGTGACTTTCGAGCTTATTGCCAAAGTTGTTGACTTATCTTTGACACCCACTTATTGGCCCGCTTACATTACAGCACACGCTCCTGCTGAACGTTCGTCCCTGCTGCAGCCGGCAATTAAGCCACAAACTTAAGTGTATGGCTTGTCTGAATTACATGTACTTATGTCGTTTGGGTCAAGCAACTTTACTTTGCTTTTGCCACACAATTGCGACGAAAGTGTGGCCCCTTATCTGGCTAATTAGCATTAAGACTTAAGCTCCGCCAGTCACGACAGGTTCACAACTAAACTTTGAGTGCCATTGATTTCATTCGGTCTGGTCACGTGCCGCACATTTGCGACGAGACATAATAAAAAATGTTATTCAAATATGAATCATAATTATATTTATCAAATATTATATACCCTCTAGCTAAATATCTTTTTGGGATAGATTGTGAATATATCTACGATATCCCCAAAATGAAATTTTGGTAAATATAGTGATACGAAACTGTTGTGATTTTGTTTTTTGTTTGTTTTTTTTTTTTTTTT